AAAAATCATTCACTGAATTTGCCCCTGAGATTTGTCAAATTCTTAAATTGTCGTTTCTGTATGGAAGCAACCGGGAGTTTTATAGAATCATCATATGCATGCTTTTTCTATGAGCTGGGTTGCTCTCAGGAAAATGGCGTACGGGCGAAAATTTTGGCCGAAAATTTAAGCGATAGAGTTGGGCCTGAATCCAGGTGGCAGGCATGTGTGAACCATTTCAATGAATCGTTTCACAGCTAAGGAATATGTTGAATGTCATGCAGATCCTGCACCGTCATGCGTGCCTTTACCTAAATAAGGCCTTTTATATCACCATGAGAGCTTGGCAAGCTTTGTAAACTCTTTGCTCCCGGCAAGCGCGCCTGGTCACCAGGGAATGTCCTTCATTAAAGCCAATGGATTGAGAGACGGAGCATTAGGACATCGCAAACTTCAGATGATCAACGCGGCAGAAGTGTAATGCGGGCAGCATGGTCACACAAAGCTTCTTCCGCAGGCTTACTAGTGTTCCTAGCGGCAAATACAACGTGCAGATTATGACAGCCAAAGCAGCACCAAAACATATTTTTGCGTGGGGGCTGGCGTCCTCCCGAGACCAAATGTTCACAAAGCGGCCAGTGTCACTGATGCCAAAGCTGGTAATCCTGGCTAAAGTGCGTGTGGGAAAAGGTAGACTTGAGCGGACGTTTATGGTTAGGAAGACTGTTCCATGTTCTGTTTTGCACTTGCACGCTCTTGCCATGGGATGTGAAAAACCCTTACGCGATGTTCAAGCCGAAGGGCAGCTCCAGCATCTGATCGGCCGTCTCCTGCCAATCCCGAGAAAATGTATAGAAAGATTCCAAGTGATTGGGCAACTTACATTCAAGCTCCAAAATCTGACCATGTAACTTGCAGCAGCGGAGCATCCCTGGCCACACGTGGTCTCCTCCGGGCTGCGAAGCTCTGGATAAGGGTTTCCTTTTACCTTGCTTCAAAAATCATGCCAAGTCGCAAGAGCTGCAAAGCCATGCTGATCGTGTTGTTTCAAAAACTATCAGCTCAGCCAGCTGCATACGGTTTCGAAAGCGCCGTCTCAACCATCTGTGGGTAAAGCCTTGGCTGCTGAAATAATTAATTGCCCGCATCGCCTCTATAAAGCCTACAACCCAACGAAAATTGATTGAGGGTAATGCTAGCAAGCCCAAGGTTCAAGAGATGCGACGAATAATTGATCAATCTACAGAATGACAATGCCGCTGTTCTCCCAATGATGCGCTGCTGAAATTCCAAGCAGCGTAAACGCTGACACCTTGTGTCGGCCACCTTCAATCGACAAGTTTTTCATGAAGGCCTGGCAGGCAAGCAGCTACCTGAAAACCAAGCGATTGAAACAGCTCTCACCCAGTGGCCTGTCTTACAAACCTCTCTTTCAGCCCCAACTTTTTCAAGTTTCCAGGATGCAGAAGTCTCCATTGCAAATTTGGGCACCCCGGCGTTCAGTGCTGTCTTGGACGCCCGGTATGAATACCACCCGCCAGCCTTAAAAACAAAAGGCCAAACTCAAGCTAAGCTACGACATGGCACCTAATATAGCTATTTCATGGCCCTTTTCTTGTATTCCCATGCTGGGCTATTTGTTTTGAAACAAAGAAAATGTGAATGTGTCGGCGCAACAAGGCACAAGCTGTGCTCCCATGTTGTCTGTGACATCATGGGGATCGAGGTCTCAAATTTCAATCACCCCCGGCAAATCTTCGCTGCACTCCTTGCAAAGGACGCGATGCGTCCAGCCTGGTTGGTGCTGATTGAAGCCACACCGGCGCCCACAGCCACCACCTCAGTGAAAAGCTGGGCCTTTTGGGTCTGGCGGTGTTGCGCCAATAGTAGTGTGGATGAAGCTGCAGCAGCTGCACCTTGCTGGGCTCTTCTTGTGCAGCAGCTCGCAACCGTGGGTACAAAGCCTGGCAAGTATCCAGATTCGCGCAGTTTCTTGCATCCACAGTCGTGGACAAGAGAATTGCCCTTTGAAAGCAGAACGGTGCCGCAATTCTTGGAACATCGGTTTTAATTCATGAGATGGCAACTTGCATGTCAGGCAAGAACCTGAACCTTTTGCAAAGAAAATACAAACTAGACGACGGTTGGCCCGAGAGCGAAAAACGCATTTTTCAAGCAGCTCTGAGTATGGTAGTCGTAAAAAATAGTCGGTGAATGGTTGGTGAAGTTTATATGAGCTATGGAGGGATAGGTTGTGAAAAGTAAGATTGATTAAGAAGAGGATACATGTGATAACCTATGCACATGCACTGTGCTGCTTGGTAAAGGGCATCGTATGACACATGACGTGCAACCACAGAGAGACATAGATAGAGAGAGAGAGAGGGCGAGAGAGAGGGAGAGGGAGAGACGGAGAGATAGAAAGAGGGGGAGACGAGAGAGAGGGAGAGAGAGAGAGCAGGGTCTTCTGTTGTTAGTATTGAGACACTATATTACAAGACAATACATTAAAGGTGAATTTTTGCACAGAAGCCGTTACACACAGACGCATTTCCACAGAGACACTTTTACACGCAAACACTTTAACACACAGACGCTTTTATACACAGACACTTTTACACACATACGCTTTTACACGCAGATGCTTTTTACACAAGCACACACACTTTCACACACAAACGCTTTTAATACAGACGGTTTTACACACAGACGCTTTTACACACAGACCCTTTTACACACAGACGCTTTTACACACAAACACTTTTACACACATACGCTTTTACACACGGACGCTTTTACACGCAAACACTTTTACATACAGACGCGTTTACATGCAGACACTTTCACACACAAATGCTTTACACACAGACGCTTTTTAACCACACAGACGCTTTTACACGCAGACGCTTTACGCTAAGAGCGTTTTTACAACACGCACCAACGCTTCACACACACAAACGCTTTTCACACGAAGTTACACACAGACGCTTTTACACACAGACGCTTTTACACACAGATGCTTTTTACACACGCACACACGCTTTCACACACAAACGCTTTTACACACAGACGCTTTTACACACGGACACTTCAAGACAAAGACGCTTTTACACACAGACATTTGCACACAGACGCTTATACACATAGATGCTTTTACACACAGACACTTTTACACAAACGAAAGCGTCCATCGCAATTTATCTCAATTTTTGACGTCCAGCGTCCATTTCGTGCGAAAGGGTTACGATTGACCAAGTAAAATTGCAATTTTTCCGCAGTTTTTGACGTCCAACGTCCATTTCGCGCGTAAGGGTTGCGATTGACACTTTAAAATCGCAATTTTTCCTCAGTTTTTGACGTCCAACGTCCATTTCGTGCGTAAGGGTTGCGATTGACACCTCAAAGTCGCAATTTTTCATCAGTTTTTGACGTCCAACGTCCATTTCGTGCGAAAGGGTTGCAGGGGACGCTTCAAAGTCGCAATTTTTCCTCAGTTTTTGACGTCAACGTCCATTTCGTGCGAAAGGGTTGCGCGCGACGCTTCAAAGTCGCAATTTTTCCTCAGTTTTTGACGTCAGACGTCCATTTCGTGCGAAACGGTTGCGCGCGACGCTTCAAAGTCGCAATTTTTCGTCAGTTTTTGACGTCCAACGTCCATTTCGTGCGAAAGGGTTGCGCGCGACGCATCAAATTCGCAATTTTTCCTCAGTTTTTGACGTCAGACGTCCATTTCGTGCGAAAGGGTTGCGCGCGACGCTTCAAAGTCGCAATTTTACCTAGGTTTTGGACGTCCAACGTCCATTTCGTGCGAAAGGGTTGCGTTTCGTGGCGCTCCGGCGGCACCGCCCCCGCCTTAAGAGAGAATAGAAGAAGAGCGAGAGGAGATCTGCAGATCTGAAGGTGTGAAGATGTAGATCTGCAGATGTGAGGGTGTGAAGATCTAGATCTGCAGGTGTGAGGGTGTGAAGATCTAGATCTGCAGGCGTGAGGGGTGAAGATGTAGATCAGCAGATGTGAGGGTGTGAAGATGTAGATCTGCAGGTGTGAGGGTGTGAAGATCTAGATCTGCAGGTGTGAGGGTGTATATGATGTAGATCTGCAGATGTGAAGGTGTGAAGATGTAGATCTGCAGATGTGAAGGTGTGAAGATCTAGATCTGCAGGTGTGAGGGTGTGAAGATCTAGATCTGCAGGTGTGAGGGTAAGAAGATCTAGATCTGCAGATGTGAAGGAGTGAAGATCTAGATCAGCAGATGTGAAGGTGTGAAGATCTAGATCTGCAGGTGTGAGGGTGTGAAGATCTAGATCTGCAGGTGTGAGGGTGTGATGATGTAGATCTGCAGATGTGAGGGTGTGAAGATCTAGATCTGCAGGTGTGAGGATGTGAAGATCTAGATCTGCAGGTGTGAGGGTGTGAAGATCTAGATCTGCAGGTGTGAGGGTGTGAAGATCTAGATCAGCAGGTGTGAGGGTGTGAAGATCTAGATCAGCAGATGTGAAGGTGTGAAGATCTAGATCTGCAGATGTGAAGGTGTGAAGATCTAGATCTGCAGGTGCGAGGGTGTGAAGATCTAGATCAGCAGGTGTGAGGGTGTGAAGATCTAGATCAGCAGATGTGAAGGTGTGAAGATCTAGATCAGCAGATGTGAAGGAGTGAAGATCTAGTATAACGGCTGCTTTTTTACGAAGAACCCTTCGCAGGCGCTCTCGGGAAAAATGCAATCTTGGGCTTTGCCATGGCCACAAAATTTGGGCCTAACATTGTCGAAGGAGTTTGAAAGTTCAAACTTCTCCGACAAATCATTGGACAGATGAAAAGCAGAGCAGGGAAGGGAAGAGGCAGAGGCAGCGAGAAGAGAGAAAGATTTTAGAAGAAAGAAGAGCTAGAAAGAGAAAGAGTAAGAAGAAGAAAAGAGATGCAGATGCGCACGAAAAGGTACCGGAGAGGAAAGTCGCGAAAC